AATTTTTCCTTTCTTCTCGCCTATTTAAGAAGCCCCAAATCTACTGGCATCAAACCTTGTGCTGTAGAAAAGAAATCTCTCATCCCACACATGAGGTCACTGACATCCATCCTAAAAGACGTCAGCAAGTAGACAGCTTTGTGCCATGGGGAAAAAGAAGTGGACATCATTAGAGGAAAACCATTGTAATTACCTGAGGGTTTGGGGTTTTTTTTAGCACTTAAGGAGACCAGCTGCTTTTATATGGACATCAAGTAGGTCCCTCAAATGCATCTACAGCAAATAAATGAACTAAGTATAGTTCTTCCACAAAAAAATATAACTTTGTTTTGCTGGTAATTTAGTCTCTAAAAATAAGGATTCAGAACTTAAAGTCACCATTCAGATGTAAAAAAACAGTCTTTAGTCATTCCCATTTTGCTAAATATTATCAACATAGTAATGGGTTACACATTATTATAAAAAGCCTTGCTAGTCAATCTTCTACATTGATTTTGTGACGTTCTATAAACTATAAAGTATGGTAGTGATTTGTGTTTATTATGTCTGTTAGTATGGACAGCTCATTTTTAAGTGTCTAAGAAAAAAACTGATCTAGAACAAATAAAGAACGGAACCTTAAGATTAAGATTCTGACATGAGCAGTGAGAAATAGTTAAAACGAAAGAAATTTGAGTTCTTTGGGAAGAAAGGAATTAGGAAATGCAGTCATTCTCAAACAATGGTATGTCTTGAAAGTCCCGCAGGATTTGCCTGCATGGAAAGCAAGTGAAATACACAGGGCTTGCTTGTGAGTGATATAGGGAGGGTGGAGACGTCAGGAATGATCTCTGGACTTGTGCCTTGAGCATAAGAACTGAAGAGGCAGGCTGGGATTCACAATTTGGGGTCATGGAGAAAAATTCCATGAAAGATCATAATTTTGAGGGCCCCTATTGAAAAATTCTGGAAAAAATATCAAGTAGACAATTGGATAAATGAGGCCAGACTCAGAGAACAGCTGGATGAGAAGTCCTCAGCATATTGGTTCAGTAGTCACCAAAAATACTATCAAGGATGTGATGTGGGCACAGTTAGAACATTCCTTTCTGAAAAAGAGCTCAGAATGAAGAGAGACGATAAAGGGTTAAAAAAGAATAACTTTTTATCTGTAGCTGGGAAAGAGTGATTTTATACTCTTCTGTGATCCAGAGAATGAAAATAAACAGTCTGAAAGGAACAAATGTAAATTATAGGAAAGGAAGCAAGAGGGTCTAACATAGGGATATAGGTCTGGAAAACATGAATGCATGCATTATGGGAAGCTTTTATAGCACTGTATAGCACAAATGTTCTGAAGCCGTTTTCACAAAGAGAAGTTGTGTTGAATTAGGCAACAGCCCACCAGATATAGCATTGTGTTTATGAGATATAGTCTCAGTTCTCAAGAGCAACTTTTAGAAAGTAGTCTGTTTATACATTGGGGATGTCTGTGGCTACAGATTTGTTACTGGGGAGGTCAGAGATTTACAAAGGATCCATAAAGGCTGAACAACTACAGAAACATGAGGCCTTAAGTAATGTGACTTACAGAGTAAGATGCTCCAAAGAACTAAAATTTTCAAAGCTCATTATTCATAATATTTGGCTCAGTGAGCTGGTAGTTCCAGCAATGCCCAGTGGTAAAGAAAGTGAAGGCTGTTAACTCTTTTATCTCCAAATGAGGCCTAAGAACAAGCAACAGTAACAGAAATTCAAAACTGCAGCTTCTTCCTCAGACTTGTCAAATTTAAACAAGATCCTTTGGTAATTCTTAATCATGAAACTTTGAGAAGAAAGGTAAAGAAATCTGGTGATCAGAGCTATGAGAACAATAGCCAGAGAAAGAACACTGGAAACAAAAATAAAAGATAGAGAAGATCCCAAGATCGGAGAAAGATTAACAAAAAAAGCAGTATTCTTTTGTTGAAAATGGAAAAGAAGGATTGAAGAGGAAATGTGAGACCAGAAGCATATAACTGAAAGCTTATAGAAAGATGTTTCATGTCTCCCTCCATAAAATTAGTGGCAATGACAACATTTGAGGAAGAGGACAAGTAAGTTTTAGGTAAAACAATACATGGTTTAGGAACTCCTTTCTTTAACTCACAGGACTCTAGTTTAATGACATTTGCTTTGGGTTAAGCAGCTATATAACAACATATAAAAATATGAAATACTTGAATAGTGATTTATAGTAAGACTTCAATTTCTGCAAGTTCTTTGTGAGCGTAGGTTTGATCATCTACCAGGTAACTGTAGGTTTCTAATGTTATAAGGTCAGATATCAGGTTGTAAAAACATACAAAAACTTGAAAGAAAAAAACATTTTTAATATTAACAGTTTTTACATCTTCAAAGTTTGTTCAATCAATAAGCTGACCGAAAAGTTCACTGCACAGTTAGATTTATGATGATTTACTTCACTGGTTTTCTGATGACCATTTATCATGAGGTATAGAATCTTCACAATAAATGGGAGGAATAAAAAATGTGACATGTTTGTATCTTATATAAACAAAATGTTTGATTTAGTAGCAAACTACTACTGCCTGTCATGTTTTCTTATTTTCTAATTTATTCAACCTCTGCTCAGTATTGATTCTGACAAGCAGAGTGGCCCAAAGATAAATTTATTCATCCCACAGTTTAGTCAGGAACAGCCAAAATTATAGATTTTGCCCAGGCAATATGATGACAGGCAGTCAGGGGGATGACAAATGGCTGTCTTTAGATTTAGGAAGGACAGTCGGGCCAGACATTTCCGATAAAGATTGGAGCATGCTGGTCAAATACAGGTTCATCAGTGGTCATCATTAATTGTGGAAGGAGCATAGCCTGCTGCAGACACCCATACAGGAGCTAAGGCACCAGCTCTGCAGGGGAAACGGAATTGGCTCTTCAGTATTTTACAGCACTCTTCTAAGTGATAGCATGACATGATCATTTATCAAACAGAAACTGTCCAGAAAAGTGTCTGCTTCCTCTAGTAACTTATTGAAGGGCAGAAAGTGAAAGCATTTATTACAGACAGGAAGGCAATGAACAACCAGAGCGTATCCAAAGGGTAATCGTATTTCAGCACAGGAATAGTTTAGTCTTAAATAAACACACGCTGGAGGGACTATGTCGAGAGTCATTTATCAAGTGAAGAATAATTAACAAAATGCCAAACATTCTTGTTATCTATATCAATTTAAAGTTTTTATATTGTTTCCAACACTATATTATATCCAACACTAGAAGAAAAGTGCAATATACAGTCCCTTCCTTATAAGGGGTTTTTAGAGTAAGAGAAATACAGTGTAACTCTCATATAAAATAATTATGGCTGTTAAACACTATTGAATGAATGCTGTGGAGAGGGCATGCTCTAGAGCCTGGGACTGAGGGTTTAAATGATAATTTTGAAGAAAGCTTTCTTTTAACGAGAGAACTACTTGTTTGTCAGTAAGTCACAAGTTTCTTTCTTATTTAAAACTTTTGCCCTGCTGCCCAAAATTAAGAAAAAAAAAAACAATTATCTGAGGAATAGCAGGATAAGCAAAAGGCAGAAAACTAACACATTTATTATATTGTTTCCTAGTTCTTTATATGCCATGGCAATTAATCTTAAATATCCTCATTCTATAAATGAACACATACTCATAGTAAGCAACAGTGCCAAGGAAATTTAGCATTGCCTTTAAAACAAGAATTCCTGTATTTTCATAGATCATTTATTTGCATCCCTCAGAGTCTAGCACAGACCAAATCCTAGACATAAGGCCAAAGGAAATCAAATCACTATTTTGAAGAAATATCTGTATTCCAATGTTCACTGCAATATTATTCACAGTAGCCAAGATATGGCAATATCCTAAGTCATTTTTTAAAATAAAAGACAAGACTTCGGGACCTACTTAGAAATGTTCAAAGTACATTTCATTTCCATTATGTTAAGATAACATTTAAAAAAGAAAAAGTCAGAAAAGGAGTCACAAAAGACAAAGAATTAAAAGATAATGACAATGAATGGGAAAAGAAATATACAGGGAAATAGGGAAGAGGAGGTAAAGATGGCAAACTAAGAAATCAAGTTCTAACATACCATTAATCTGTTTTCCTCACATCAATTTTAACTGCACACCATTGATCATTCTTTCAAATGCCAACTATCTCATTTTCTTGTAAGTTATAAAAACAAGCAAATATTTATGATATAATATAAAAACCGTATCATATGATGACAATTAAAAAAGAAGTCCCTAAGCTCAAAAACATCAAGAAGGAGGTATAAAAGTGTATTAAAAGTGATCTTTGGGTGATAAGTATGCAAGTGTTTTTTTTCTCTGATTTTCCAGTTTGATAAGGTTTCCACATTCTTCATAAAATAAAAGGCAAAAAATACATATTTTTGCAATGCCTATTTTTATTTGTTATTCCTTAATTACCATAACCTATAAATTTTTACTTCCAGTAAGAATAGGGCATCTTCTGTAGCAGAACATGTTTTCTGAGCTACACATTGGTCAAGGTTAAGAGTGACATGACCAAGAACAGTTCTGTGATCCCTAATTTAGGGCTTCACTTTTTTTTTTTTTTTTTTTCCGGTCATGGGGCCTGAACTCTGGGTCTGGGCGCTGTCCCTCAGCTCTTCAGCTCAAGGCTTGCGCTCTACCACGAGCCACAGCACCACTTCCGGCTTTTTCTGTTTATGTGGTGCTGAGGAATCGAACCCAGGGCCTCAGCTTGCAAGGCATACATGCTACCGCTGAGCTACTTTCCCAGCCCTAGGGCTTCACTTTTTATCTCATCTTCAGTCATTTCTAGCATAGACTATTTTATTCAAAAGCTAGTTATTATGCATCCTCTAAGTACTTAGCACTAAGTTAAGGCTCCATGAAAAGCAGTAATTACCTTTAAAAAAAAGAGTTAACTGACATGCTCAAAGTAATGATAATTATGAGATACCTGTGTCTTGCTTTTTTCTCCAATTACAGGATTTGGAGTTTTTACTGAACAAGTTGATGAAGCTACGGAAAATGGATCTAAATGGAAATCCTGTTTGTCTCAAACCCAAATACAGGGACAGGCTAATACTGGTGTCCAAATCACTAGGTATACATTTTATATTATTATATTAACATATTTTCTTAGAAAATATTATGTTTATCTTTGGCTAATTTGTCAGCAATCTTTCAGAAATACAAATATGACATGTTGATCTTGAAAAATTATCAACTTTAAATTTGCTATTTTAAATAAGAGTAAAAATTAAAAATTGAGAAATAGTACTTAAAAAATATCTGCTGTTCAGAAATAAAGTGCCAGGTATTCTTTGTTTAAGGAGAAAATGTGGATGTAAATAACAAAAGTGGCTAGTCATAGATGCAGAAAACTTGCTGACCTTCTGCGACACATTCATTGGCACAAATCCTCTGATGTTCCTAAGAGACTCCTTCACTCTTGGTTCTGTAGATAAAATTGATCAAGGTTATCATTTCTGTCTGAAATTTGCCAAATAATCCCGTAAGAACATGTAGGAGCCCCTGTCCTTTCAAAAGAGAAGCAAGGTAGGGAGTCCCCTTATGTAATCCTTACAAGTAATAGCATTCCTGAACATGCACTGTGTTGAGGAAAATGGACTCGAACACTTGGTCAGTAGTGATTAAGTTATAATATATTAGATCTTGCTGCCTCATGGAAGAGCCTTATTAGAGGGTTTCCTGAATTGTCAACAGCTAAGGCATGCTGTATTTGAGTGTAAAAACTAAAAGCTAGGCGTAGGTGATTCACGCCTGTAATCCTAGCTAAATATTTTATCGTTACACTTTATAATGTTTACAACTTTATATTAAAAGTTATTATTTTGGGATGGGAAGGTGGCTCAGTTGTAGAGTGCTTGCTTTGCGTGCATGAGGCCCTGGGTTCGATTCCTCAGCACCACATAAGTAGAAAAAGCTGGAAGTGGTGCTGTAGCTCAAGTGGTAGAGCGCTGGCCTTGAGCTGAAGAGCTCAAGGACAGCACCAAGGCTGAGTTCAGACCCTATGACTGACTAAAAAATAAATAAATAAATAAATAATAGATAATTTCTTGTTGTTTGGCAAGTGCTACCATTCAGTTAAGAAATATACATAAAGGAAGTGGCGCTGTAGCTCAAGTGGTAGAGCGCTCGCCTTGAACTGAAGAGCTGAGGGACATCGCCCAGGCCCAGAGTTCAAGCCCCACGACCGACCAAAAAAAAAAAAAAAAGAAATATACATAAAAAGTGAAGACAACTATACTTCTAGACCTTATGCTTCTAATTTGTACCTCAGTCCCTCACCCTTACCTGTGGTTTGTCTTTTCATGATTTCAATCTGCAGCCCAAAATATGTCACAGTACAATAAAATACATATAACTTATAGTATACTGGCTTACTTATTGTTATATGAATAGATATTCTTGTTAATCTCTGATAAACCCTGATTTACAAATTAAATTTTATTATAGGTATGTATGTTCAGGAATAAGCATATCTTTACAGTGCAGTACAAACTATGATTTCAGGCATACTAGATGTCTTGAAATATTACTTTATTTCATATTCTGGGTATAATGCAGTATTATGGATCAGAATTAGGTCATATTGTCAATACTTAAAGCAGTACAATCAATGTAACTCCACTACTTAAGAAAAAAAATGGAGCTGTGGTTCGGAGTGTCTGCCTTGATGGCCCTGGGTTTAAGCCCAGCACTGAAAAAATAAAATAAACTACCTTGCTTGGTGCTGTGGTGGCTCATGCCTGTAATCCTTGCTACTCAGAAGACAAAGGTCCAGAGGATCATGGTTTGAAGCCAGCACGGTCCAATTAATTTAATCTCCAAAATAACCAGCAAAATCCAGGCTTTCTGTGATTAAGAAAGTAAAATGGATAATATAAAATGTCCTATAAAAGGGAGTTTTTCAATATGTTATAGTTTAGCCATATATAACAAATACTACCACACTTAAAATTGTGCTTAAATAAACATATGGAAAATGCTCACAATACACTAATTTAAAAGAAGAATATAGAAACTATACAAAGAGTCCATTTTATATACAATATATGCAAACACATAGAAAATTAAAAATAGTTAAATATTCTAAAGTATAAATTTCAATTATTTTTCAATGATCGTTCTCATGTGATAAGGTACTTTTAAATTTTTTGCATTTTCCACATATCTTACAAAATACAACAATTATTTGAGTAATTTTAAGCAACTCAATTTTTGAAACTTTCTAAAAGGAAAAAATGTAAAGATAGTTGGACCATAGAATTTGTAGAGACTAGCTCTGTGGGCTGTTCCTTGACATCCAGTGTCCTAGGATATAATAGACATTATGAATACTGTACGTAATTTTGAAATACCATGTTTAAAACTTACTATTCATTTTAAACATATTTTCAAAAGAAAAGTATTAAGAGAAAATAGGATGCAATTTTTACTGCATATAACACTTTTTTATATAAAATAATATAGTTTACATATGACTATAAGAAGGAAGATCGGGGCTGGGAAGTTGGCTCAGTGGTAGAGCGCTCGCCTTGCATGCATGAGGCCCTGGGTTCCATTCCTCAGCACCACATAAGCAGAAAAAAAAAAGCCGGAAGTGGCGCTGTGGCTCAAGTGGTAGAGGGCTAGCCTTGAGCTGAAGAGCTGAGGGACAGCATGCAGGCCAAGAGTTCAGGTCCCCTGGGCCACCCCCCAAAAAAGAAGGAAGATCCTATAACCTTTACAGTGATTATCTCTGACAGTGATGAGAAGAGTGATAATTTGAGTCTTTTCATTTTTTCCCATAAAATTTCAAATGTTTGTAGTAACATTTTTTGGAGGGCGGGGGAGGGAATATTGAACTCAGGGCCTGGGAGCTGTCCCTTAGCTTTTTGTGCTCAAGGCTAGCTGTCTACAACTTGAGCCACAGATCCACTTCCAGCTTTTGTGTGTGGGTGGTTAATTGGAGATAAGGATATCATGGGGAAAAAAAGAATCTTGGATTTTCCTGTCTGGGCTGGCTTGAAACTGAGATTCCCCAGAGCCCCATTCCTGGGGCTTGAACTCAGGCCTGGGCACTGTCCCTGAACTTCTTTTATTGAAGGCTAGCACTCTACCACTTGAACCACAGAGCCACTTCCAGCTTTTTTTATTTATGGGGTACTGAGGAATCAAACCAGGGTTTCAGGCATTCTAGGCAAGCACTCTACCACTAAGCCATATTCCCAGCTTACATTCCCACATCTTAGCCTGAGTAGCTAGGATTACAGGCATTATCCAATGCCATCCAGCTCATATTCTTTTTGAAATCAGAAAACTAAAAATAAGTAAAAGTTCATAAAAACAAATAATTTATCTAAAATAGCTATTTTAACAGAAACACTTCAGCCTATGATGTAACTCTGTTGTGCCCTGAGCCAGAAGTGTATGTTTTTATTTATATATTCATATGTACATATTTTTAACATTTTTTCTCTAGAATATCTTGATGGAAAAGAAATTAAAAACATGGAGAGACAATTTCTGATTAACTGGAAAGCATCCAAAGATGCCAAGAAAATCATCAAGAAAAAGATCAGTAAAGATGAAGATGCAAAAAACCCTTACATAGGTAAGTACCATGTCTCTCATTAGCTAAGAGGATAGTCTAGCAAAGAGCACAGTCCAACAAAAAAACAGTCAACAAACACAAGGTTTTAGTTTTAGTTTTTAAATTTAGGTTTCCATTGTTATTATTGGTAGGGGTTTTTTTTTGTATTTTGGGGGGGTACTTTTGGTTTATTTGGCAGCGCTAGAGTTTTAATTAGGGTCTGTGATTGCTACATAAGTGCTCTACCAGTTAGGCTGTACCCCAGCCCTTTATGCTTAAGATAGTCTCGCTTTTTACTTAGACAAGCCTTGGATTATGATCCTCTTATCTATGCTTCCCACACAGCAAGGATTATACATCAGCCACCATGCCCATCTTATTTGTTTCAATGGGACTTCCTTTTTCCCCAGAGTGGCCTCAAACCATCCCTCCAATATATCAGCATCCTAAGTAGCTGGAATTACAGGAGTGAACATTGTCCTTGATCTTTGAGGGTTGTTTTTTCCTATATATTTATTTATTTAGTGGTCAATAAAGATAATGCAATTTCTAGGGATTTTGCCTATTATGAAAATGTTAGCCACTATGAACCTGTGTTTGGTTCATACTGAATGTGAGGGTGTTAACATGTACACACAGATTCACAGGACTGGAGAAATATATACTTTTTTCCTCAACAAAAGTTTGTAATAACAGTTACAAAAGTGGTAAAACAAGAGCCACATAAATTGTTTGGCAATGGTGTAAAATTAAGATAGTAAGTAAAACTGTATCACAAAAAGTTTCATGAGCATAAAAAGTTATAATTAAGGCAGGTGCTAGTAGTTCACACCTGTGACCCTAGCTACTCAGAAGGTTGAGATCTGAGAATCACGGTTCAAAGCCAGCCCAGGCAGGAAAGTCCGTGAGACACTTTTCTCTAATTAACCACCAGAAAACTGGAAGTAGCCCTGTGGCTCAAAGTAGAAGAGTGCTAGCCTTGAGCAAAAAAAGCTCAGGAACAGCACCTAGACTCTGAGTTCAAGCCCCACAACTGACAACAACAACAAAAAGTTAAAATTGCAACCACATCTTGCCTCTGTTCTATGGTCTATTCCCTTATCGTGCACATAGCCCAATTGGATTATACTATCCTAAAGTTGTGTTACAAAGGACACATGCTCCCGTGTCTGACAAAGATAACTAAATGAAATGTGTAACATTTGTCTTTATCATATGAGGGGGCCTCCTAGAATTAACTGTCTGCAGGACTGGAATGAGCCTCTTCCTCTTTTTTTTTTTTTTAAAGCCAGTCCTGGGGCTTGAACTCAGGGCCTGGGCACCGCCCCTGAGCTTTTTTTACTCAAGGCTAACACTCTACCACTTGAGCCACAACACTACTTCTGGCTCTATCTGTGTATGTAGTACTGAGGAATTGAACTTAGGGCTTCATACATGCTAGGCAAGCACTGTACCACTAAGCCACATTCCCTGGTCCCTCTTCCTCTTTTATGATAGTCATTCAATTCTATTCTTGTTCCTCAACTGTCTTTGGAGACAGGGAATGGGGGCTTAACACAAGATTGTTAGGCCAGGGGAGAGGAAATGGAAATAGAACAAGGGGTGAGGTTTTATACCTGGATAGCATATCCTAGGAATTCTGTCACTCTGGAGAAATAAGGTGAGGAGGAACAGAGTTAGAAAGGCACAGGATTGTAGTGATCTCACTACATCATATCCACTAAATACAACTTGCCAAAATCCTGAGGAATAGTGTATCATTAGGAAACATGTACCTGACAGTGTATCCTGAGTGGTACTTTATTGGCAATAAAGATTTCTCATTGTTTAAAGTAAAGCAGATAAGAGCACATCTCCTGTCAATCATGCTTTTAATTGGCTATGCCCAGGGTAAGAATTCCTTTATTTTAGTTAGGTGTGGAGTATATACCTCCAATTCAAGCTACTTGGGAGGCTGAAACAAGAGGAGCATATGTTTGAAGTGATCCTGGGCAACTTAGCAAGAACTTGTCTCAAAATAAAAGTTTAAAAAAATAGGAAAAAAAAAACTTGGGGATGTTAGCTCAATGGTGTGGAGCACTACACAAGATCTTAGGTTCAGTATCTATTGCTGAAAAAAATACTTTATACATTTTCACTATTACACCAAAGATGCCAAAGTTTCTCATTAAAACTAAAGTACTAATAAAAGTAAAGACTGGACCTATTCTAATAATAATGTTTCTTTCCTCTTACTTGATTTCAATTGTTCCTAATCAGGGACAATTGAATAAGCTAACTTTTAAATTTTCTGAGAGTTAACAAAATAACAATAACGTGTTAAAATCTACACTTTAAAATTATGATCATTTAATTTTCTGAAAGCAATCCTTATAAATCTCTTCATACTCTGGTATAATCCTCAACTAATTAGTAAAAAAGTATTTAAATTCGTGTCCACACACTAACAACAAAGTATCGGAAAGGGGTATTAGGAAAATTATTTACAATAATATTTACAATATCAAAAAGTAATAAAATACTCAGGTATAAATTTAATGGGGAAATTGAAAAACTTGTATTCTGAAAATTACAAAGGAATGATAAAGAAGACTCATGTGAAAAGATAGCACACATTTATGAACTAGAAGACAATATTATTAAAGACAATATTACTAAAATGTGCAAATGATCCAAAATGATGCCGAAGATTGAATTTTTTAAGAAGTAGAAAAATTTAATTTATTTGCAACCACAAAAGAACAATAATATCCAAATCAATTGTAATAAAAACAAAACTAGAGGCATTGGATTTCCTGATTTTAAAATATACTACCAAATTACAGTAATCAAAATAGTATGAAATCAGTATAAAATAAACATCCAATGGGACATCACAGAGATCCCACAAATATATGCATGCATATCCAATTGCCTGATTTTATAAGTACACCAAGGATACACCAGCAACATAGAAAAATTGGATATCAACATTAAAGAGAAAGGAAACTAGAACCTTACTTTGCACCACACTCAATAAAAAACTTCACATAGACTAAAGTTGTGAAGACTAGAAATTATAAAACTTAGAAGAAGACTGATTGGGAAAGCTCTGTGATAGTCATCTTGGTAATGATTACATGATTATAAGAATAAAGAAGAAGGCAACATAAGCAAAAATAAGTGATATAACATCAAACTAAAGAGCATCTAAACAAAGGAAATAATAAACATTATAACAAATGAAATAAAATATTCCCAAACAGTATATCTGATGTAATTTCCAAAATATATGAGCGAAATTCCTACAACTAAATAGCAAAACAAAACAACAAAAAAACTCACAAACCTCCTAAATTGATTTCAAAAAAGGATCTAAAGATTTCAGTTAATATTTCTTCAAAAACATAGAAACGGCCAATGTATATGTCTGAATGTCATTAAATCATCAGAAAATATGAATAAAAAATATCATGAGCATCACCTCATACCTGCCAAGTTGGTAATTATTTGAAAATAAAAATACAGAAACAAGAGTTGGGCAGGGTGTCAGTGGCTCACACCTATAATCCTAGCTACTCAGGAGACTGAGATCTGAGGATTGCAGTTCAAAGCCAACGTGAGCAGGAAAGTCCCTGAGACTCTTATCTCCAATAAACCACTCAGGAAACCAGAAGTGGTGCTGTGTGGCTCAAGTGGTAGAGCACTAGCCTTGAGCTGAAGAGCTGAGGGACAGCGCCCAGGCCCAGAGTTCAAGCCCCATAACTTACAAAAAAAAAGAAAAGAAAAAAGAGTTAGTAAGGATATAGAGAAAATGGAACCCTTACTTACTATTACCTACTATTGCTGGAACATAAAATAGGGCAAACATAACAAATTCCATGGAGGTCCCTGAAAAAATTGAAAATATAACTACCATATGATCAAGAAGCCTCTGAATATTATCCAGAACATGTTGAAAGAAAAATCACCATGAAACATTGGCACACCTACATTCACTGCAGCAATATTCACAAGACCCAATGTGTAGAATAAACCTAAATGTGCACAGAGAGATGAATACATAAAGAAAACAAAGTATATAGAAAACATGAAACATAGACCATTATTACTCAGCCCTTTAGAAAATTATGTTTAACAATATGGATGAACATTGAGGATATTATGTTGAATATTATATCAGTCACAGAAAACAGTATGAGTTCACTTATCTAATGCATATTGAAATGACTTATAATCAGCTACTCCACTAGCTTCATTCAGTGCAGCTAGAAAAAGTCTACAGATATATTATACAACAACATTGTATCTGAAGTAAAAAACAAATTTCTTGGTACTTTAAAGACTGTAAAGACAGGTCTTTTGTTAAGTGTACATTTTATAATGTTTAAAAGATCATAGAATATGGGTGGTGGTGGCTCACATCTTTAATCCAAACTACTAAGAAGGCGGAGGCCTGAGGTCCACCTCAGTAAAATTCAAATTAAAAAGCAAAGATTCTAGAAATGGAAGTTTGGCACAAGTACTAGAACACCAGCCCTAAGCAAAAATGCAAAGAATTCTGCAAGGAAGGGGAGGAGAAGGAAAGGAAGAAAAAGAAAAAGTAGAGGAAGAGGAAGAAAAGAAGGAGGAGGAGGAACAGGCGGAGGAGGAGGCAGAGGAGGAGGCAGAAGATAACCAAGAAAAAGACAAAAATACCAGAAAGGGACTAAGGATTTGAGCTAACATTACTCCAAATAATGTAGAGGAGGAAGAGGTGGAGGAGGAGGAGGAGGAAGTGGAGGAGACAGAGGAAAAGGAAAAGGAGGCAGAGGGAGGAGGTGGTATTCCAACTCAAAAGCAAGCAAAGGAAAAACAAAATAGCATGTTAATTTTAAAAATGAACTAAGCATTGCAGTTACCATTTCTCCAAAGAAAATGAAATGACAAAAGTGTGCAAGCAATACAATTAAATCATCAGGAAATGTGAATCAAAACAATATTGAAATTAAATCATACCTGTCAAGATGGCTATTAAAGGAAGACAGTTTCCTAAAGATACT